ACACACACACACACACACACACACACACATATATATATATATATAATATATATATATATATATATATATATATATAAGGGGTACATACACAAGTTGTGGTGCATAAATCACTTCAAAGCTCATTCAGTCAACGATAACGTAGTTGACTGCATGCAAACAGCACCTTGCACATTTTATGGAAAAGTATATGAGGAAATCATAATACATTTTAGGCCGAAAACACATAAAACGCAAATGGCTACGAGTTAACGTGAACGTAATTGAACAGTAATTTATGTGAGTTATACATAGGAGCCGTGAAAGCAAAAGGACAGCAAGATTTACAAACGATAGCAGTGTGGTTGCAGCATGTGACCCAAACGACTCAGCTGTAAAGGAAACCACGCACCATCAAATGCACCACCAACTGCAAACACACAGACACATACATATAAACACTCATATACACCACATACATACAACCACTCACTTACACAGAAACACACACACACATCCAAACAAATACAAAGACTTCAGTGCACACACACACACGTATATATATATATACATATATATATATATAATATGTATATGTGTATGTATATATATACCGCATTGACACATACCAGTGCAATTCGCTAGCACACGGCGGAAAGCCATCCGCATAACCCCATCGCTAGCTATGGCAAAGTGTGTGCCCCAGTGGCCTAGCGACTGTGCCTGTGCACGCATCACCACAACCCCATTCAACGTGCGGATCACCTCTCGCCACGTGTCTACGGACACTACCGAAAGCCCCAGTCGATCACACACCGCAGCTATGTCCTCTTCCGTAGACACACTCGTAGGCACACGCCCGGTCGGTGTACGCGCGTGTGACTGTTGCTGGGTCTCGGGACACGAGGTGGGGGATGGGTGGGGGATGTCTTGTTTGGCGTGTGACGGAATAAGACTGTCTTGTTTGGCGCGGGGGGCAATAAGCCAGTCCTCGTGGCGGTGGGCAATTGAACCCAAACTCAGTACCGAGGCGAAGAATGGCGCGCACGTCACATTATCACTGCCAGCGATACGTTCACTGCACAAGGTCTTATGGTAGGCGATGCTGCAGAGAGGCGAGTGGCATGGCGTGGTTTGGAGTAAAAAAAACCTGGGGATAATAAGTGAAGCTTACGCTACTAGGCAACTACTAAGTGTTTCTATTAGATAATAAGTAAAACTCACGCCACTAGGCAACTACTAAGTGTTTCTATTGGATGAAAAGTGAAACTCACGCTACTAGGCAACTACCAAGCGTTTCTATTGGACAATAAGTGAAACTCCCGCTACTAGGCAACAAACAAGCGTTTCTATTGGATAATAAGTGGGACTCACGCTACTAGTCAACAACCAAGCGTTTCTATTGGATAATAAGTGGAACTCAACGCTACTAGGCAACAAACAAGCGTTTCTATTGGATAATAAGTGGGACTCACGCTACTAGTGTAGTTCTTAGTTCATTCCGGGTCCAGTAAAACGTGGTCTGCGCACAACCACACACTCCTTCGAATGAAAACACTACACACACAATCACTCCCACGAAGTGCCCAACAGGTGGTTTTAGAGCGTTCAGAGTCGAAGATCTGCTGCACTGGCGTACAATCACACACCTGGACTTAGCTTTCCGCACGTTCACTTTCGTCTCCATAGTCTCCGTTCCGCCTACATCCGCTGTATTCACAGTGTCCATGTAAGGCAGAGTGCAGATGTGGGCCAAATCAGTCACACACCGGGACTCCAAATAGGCTTCCAGCTCAAAGTTTGCGTCTGTCTTGTACACGTGTTCGAGCACGTGCGTGTGTAAGCTTGCCAGCAAAATTACCGACGGCGCCACTGCGGCGTGTGATCCGTACTGTGCCTTGTTCAATAACTCATTTAAGGCGTGTAGCAAAGCCACGGACACCCCCACAGCTGCACCCCCACAGAGTGTCCCGGAATCAGATTTCTGGGCCTCTTTTGGCCCGGTTGGACCTGGTTCTGTCCTTCCACCTAGTACTTGTGCGTACATAGACTGTGTGAGTGGGGAGGGGTGTCGCGCCCACAGCTCCAGCGAGTGGTTGAGCAGAGCCCCTGCGCTGTACATCACCGCAGTGAAAAGCGGCCTGCCCGTGTCAGTGTCAATGTCAGTGTAAGTGTCAGTTCGGCGGGCAGTACCTGCTGCTGCGTTGCCAGGGCTACCACGCACCCCACACAGCGAGGTCACGCCCTGGCCGAGTGTGCGGGCCACTGAGCGCAGGGCAGCTTCCACCACGTACCGAACTTCCTTGTCTGCTTGTGTGTCTGCATGGTCACCCTCCTCGGCACTGTGTGGGTACTGTGCCAGGGCAGTCACCACGGCGGCTAGGCCCAGCGCTCGAGCGTGGTACAGCTCGACCGCATCTTCATCTAAAGGGCCAGAGAAACGGTCCCCAGCCCCACGGCCCTGTCCTTCAGCGGACAGGACAGGGCTGAACGAACCCACCAAGCACGCTATCTCCTGCGCAAAGTACCGCACTTTACCAGTCACGCCGCGCACTCGCAATCGGCACAGACCACGCGACGAGGCATTGAGTAAGCTTTGCACATACGTCAGCTGGCCCGACCCCGCCCCCTGCAGCTGTACCAGCGACGTGACCAGCCACAGCACACATTCAGCCGTTACGTCTGTAGGGGCCGATGGGTGGGGGGTGTCTGCGGGGTGAGAGGGAGACACACACTCACACGCACACGCACACACACACGCGTCGTCACAGGTGCATACGGATGTGTATGGAGCACTGCCCAGTGTACAGATGCTGGTGACGATGTTACGGATGGCCTCTACGCGCCACGCGTGTGAGCTGGACTTCCCGATGTTGTGCACGACGTTACCACTCAGCAGTTCCATACAGGCACGGTCGTACACCGTGGTTGCGCAGGAGGCTGTCTCTGAGCACGTGGCCACGGGGTTGCCAAGGGAACCGTTGCCATGGTTACCGTGTCCGTGTGTGGTGATGGCGGCGAAGGCGGTTAGGCAGATGCTGAGGACGCCCACGGCCACCCCGTCTGTGACTGTACGGAGAGCCTCGACGAAACGGCGGATAAAGTGCCGTCTAAAATACAGCCAGGAGAAATACAAACTCAGAAAGTCAGTCACACGCGAGAGTGATGTGGTTGTAGGGGGGTGCATAGGTGATATGTACCCATGGGCACTAAGGCTTATATATGCAGACACAACACTAATACTTATGTATGCACACACAGCCGTGTTCCATTAAGGGATTCCTTCGACACTAATATATCTATATCTATATCTATATATATACACACACACACATATATATATATATATATATATGTATATATATACACACACACACACACACACACACACACACACATATATATATATAATAAATAATTATATATATATATATATATATATATATCGTGCATTTATAGCGTATGTACATGTACATACTTCTCACTCGCTTAAATACCACGTGTAACACACCACATAACTCCATGGACACCATACCTTTCCGCACCCGGTAGTAGCCCAGCAACATCAGAGAAGAACTGTGGCAGTAGAGTGACCGTGTCCACAACATCGCTCACACAGTCCGCATCGCCACGCCCATTCAGCTGCTTGTGCAGATGGCCCGGCCCAGCCCCCCCGCCACTACTACCACCCCCTATACTCACACCTACAGTAGTAGTACCTACAGTAGTAGTAGCAGTCGTAGCAGTGGTAGTAGTCACACCTCGTGCCCCGGTAGGTACGCTTATTCCGTCACCACTGCCGATGGGGCCCGTGCTTATTTCGTCACGTATGGCTGGCGTGGTGCGTTGCCCAGTGCTCTTGCCCTTGTGCGGTGTTACATTGGTGTCGGTGTGAGTGATGATACCACCTCTACCGGCGGTTGGGTCGGGTCGCTCGTAGGCGGCTGGGTCTGTGGTGTGGGCGTTATTCCGCATGGTGACGGAATAATAGGCTGCGAGAGCGAGTCGTGGAGAGAATGAGTCACAAAGGGATCACACGTGACGGAATAATAGGCTGCGGGAGAATGATATGGGATGGGCGGCATGGGGTATGCGTTTATGTAGGTAGTAGTAAGTAGTAAGTAGCATGGGATGGGTGACAGGTATAATTCCATCACACGTGACGGAATAATAAGCTGCGAAAGTGTTATGGGATGGGTGGCATGGGGTATGCGTTTATGTAGGTAGTAGTAAGTAGTGAGTAGCATGGGATGGGTGTACAGGTATAACGCCACTACACGTGACGGAATAATAGGCTGCTAAAGTGGTATGGGATGGGTGGCATGGGTTATGCGTTTGTGTAGGTAGTAGTAAGTAGTAAGTAGCAAGGGATGGGTGTACAGGTATAACGCCATCGCACGTGACGGAATAATAGGCTGTGAGAATGTGGAATGAAAAAAAACGGTTTAAAAGACGGTACGACGAAACAAGGAGATGACGAAAGCCAGAGAAATAGGCTCAAAAGAGGCCCAAACTAAACTACACACATACATCAACACACACATACACAGAAACCACATATATACATATACACCGAAACACACAGACACACAGACATACAGACACACACATACAAACACACACACACACACATACAAACATACACACACACATATACAAACATACATACACCCAATACAAACACACACACACAAACACACCCATATAAACACGCACACACACAAGCACACCCATATAAGCACACGAACATATATACAAATATATACAACGACTATACATGCACACTAACCCACATACAGATATAAACACTCATATATACATACATACACATTTTGGCCAATGTTTAGCCAGATTAAATATCAAATCAAATCACTACAATAAATATGTACAAAGTAACAAAAATAAACAGATACACATAGATATGTACAAAATAGCGTATATTAATACTTGCACATACATATAGTTATGTACAAAATAACACAAATAAATACTTACATAGATATGTACAAAACAACATAATGAATACGTACACATACATAGATATGTAAATAGATATGTACAAAATAACACAAATAAATACTTACATAGATATGTACAAATAACAGAATGAATACGTACACATACGTACATATGTACCTGGACGTGCCATAACCGGAAAGACATTATGAAAAATAAAATCGATGAACGGTTGACTGGAGGCGATGGTGGGCTGTACAGAGAGGCAGGAGAATAACAGTCAGTGGTAAAAAAACCAAACAAACACACAGCAGAACTCGCATACAAAAGCCCCTCAACCAAAAACCCTAGCTGAGCGTACCAGGTGGCGGGGGATGTTATAGCACAACAGTTGCCTCAGCGCTTGTTGGCGGAAGTATTTTGAGTCGTAGTCGAAGAACACGGCGAACGCACACAATGCCCACGGCAACAGCCCCGAGACACATGCGTGGGAGGCGTCACTGACACTGGTGGTCACGGGTTGGGGGTAGGAGAGGGCGGTATCAGCAAGCGGTGGGAATAGCAGAGGTAGACATGAAAAGCATAGGTCAGCAGAGAAGCTGTATACATGATCATATGCAACCAAGATATAAACCTAATCTTAAGCAATCAAGCTGTATGCTTGAGCCTACCCACTCACTTGATTCGGGGTATGTGCATCTCCTCTATAACTGCAGTCAATATCTCCGAGCGTATACACGCATGCACACACTGACACAAACACTGACACGACACAGACACAGACACAGGCACAGGCACAGACACACACACACACGCGCGTAGTCCCTTAGCAGTCCGTTTGGTCTGGGCCACTCACCTGTGTCTGTTCCGCGTCCTCTGCATGTCTTCGTCGACTGCAGCCAACACCATCGGCCACAGTTGCAGTTCCTGACGCGACAGATGGTTCGAAGTTTCCGCTTTGGCCATAAACGTTCGCACGAGCACGTCCCACGTCGCACTATTCTCCGTCGACCAATAGAAATGCTTCGTAAACCGGAACTCGGTTTTCTCGGCGGTCTGATTGGCTCTCACCCCCGAGCACTCTGCGGGCGGAGCTGGCTTAGCCTTGCGGTTAGGGTACTTCTTCTGCGGTCGCGCCGACTTTTCACACGACCGCAGCACCGTCTTCAACAGCACAATCGCTCGCTTGAACGTGACACTATCGGAAGACCCGAGCCCCGCCTAACGCAAAGGGTATCAGCAGAAGCATCAGTAGAAACACGCCTCAGCCCAGGACGGGATAAATGTACTGGGTGGTATGTAGTAGGACCAGAACAACCCGTGGATGAACGTGTATATGAACGTGATAAGAAATGGGTATATAGAAGCATCAGTAGAAACACGACTCAGCCCAGGACGGGATAAGTGGACCGGGTGGTATTAAGTAGGACCAGAACAACCCGTGGATGAACGTGTATATGAACGTGATAAGAAACGTGTATATAGAAGCATCACTAGTAACACGACTCAGCCCAGGACGGGATAAGTGGACCGGGTGGTATGTAGTAGGACCAGAACAACTCGTGGATGAACGTGCATATGAACGTGATAAGAAAAGGGTATTTAGAAGCATCAGTAGAAACACGATTCAGCCCAGGACGGGATAAGTGGATCGGGCGGTATGTAGTAGGACGAGAACAACTCGTGGATGAACGTGCATATGGACGTGATAAGAAACGTGTATATGAACGTGATAATAGACGTGTATATGAACGTGATAAAAAACGTGTATGTGAACGTGATAATAGACGTTTATATGCGCGTGATAATAGACGTGTATATGAACGTGATAATAAACGTGTATATGAACGTGATAAAAAACGTGTATGTGAACGTGATAATAGACGTTTATATGAGCGTGATAATAGACGTGTATATGAACGTGATAATAAACGGGTATATGAACGTGATAATAAACGTGTATATGAGCGTGATAATAAACGTGTATATGAACGTGATAATAAACAAGGCAGTGCGCTTCGCACAGTGAAAGGCGGGTGGGGTGAACGTGATACTTAATCTGTGCAAACCACTGTGTGTACGTTGTTTTAGGGTTTTTAGGGTTTTATCATCTCAGCCCAGGGCAAAACAAGTGGACCGGGTGATAAAACATGGAACTTTCACTGCCAGAGCCGATTCGACAGCTTAGAGAGATGAGTGATGATAGTGACAGGAATAGTACGGAACAAAAACATATGAGAGAGAAGTGTGGTGAGCGTAGCATGATGCAGAATAATGGGAACCTATGGGACTGAGCTCAGTGGGAGTTTCAGCAGTTCACGAGCCGTGTCAAGGGGAGAAGGTCAAATAATGGTCAATGGGAGTTAAGAGGCTTATATTACATGGAGAAAT